GCCTGCTACAGGCCACTTGTCGAACGAGGCAGAGACTGCAGGAGGCTTGTTGCAACCTGGAGAGTCTGTGCCCACCTGGGACGAGATCGTTGAATCGATCGACTACCAGACCCCTCTGGAGGAGGGTGGACCGAGCATGGAACCCTACCTTGGGCGTCTGACGCAGTCCCCAGGCAGTTCTGATGCAGAAGGGATGGATGGAAGCTCAAGAGCGACCGAGCCAATGGATGGCAGAGAGTCCATGTGGCTGCGTCGGGAGCAGTCTAGCGAAGCTGCTGCAGCAACAGAGCAGCGTGCATGGATCCGCATTAGCGGAAGCGAAGAAGTTATGGAAGCTTTTCGAAAAGAGCTTCGAGCCAAAGAGCCAGAGGCTCAGGTTTTTACACCTGCAGTTGTGCGGACAGGCACGACGCGGGTGCACAGCTCAGCTGCACGCTGGTATGTGCGGGGCAGCAGATGACGCACCTGATGTGCCCAATCTGCACAGACCGTCAGAATGCATTTGACCGTCTCGTGGCGGATACAGACAAAGTGCTCCATAGCAGACTTACATGCAGTGTGCTACGAGAGGTAGCTCAAGGCAGAGTCTTGGGGTACTGTGGGATTTGTTGGCTGCAGGGACTAGGTCCGGCCAGCAACATTCCTGCCGCAGAGAAAGATGATGAGAATGATGATGAGAATGATGATGGGGAGGGGATAGAAAATCTCGAGGAGTCCACTCCGACCCCGAGTGACGAAGCGGCCTCAGACCCGCCTTCAGTTGACTTGGGCAGGGCTGGAGGCTGAAGTCTGAAACCTTCAGCATAGTGTGCTGTGGAGAAGCGCAACTATGAGCATGAGCGCTTTGGTAGAGCGCCGTTGCAGAGGATGCCAACGTAGAGGCAGAGAGCAGAAGAGACGCCTGTGAGGGTGCCTAGTTTTTAGAAGCTTTTGGCCTGCTCCTAAGGGAGTTTTTGGGCACTGTTTTTAGATGCAAGAACGTTTTACTACCTCGTTGCAGAAGCCGAGTCAAAATAATGTGGCGTTCAATGAGCGCTATGTCCACGAGGGGGTGTTAAAATGGTAAAGTTGATGCAGGTAACCAGCATCTAGTCAGATATGTGTCCATAGCGTCATGTCTGCTTACCACAGTTTCGTCACCTTCTCAGTTGATTTGGTGCAACGTTTGTTTCGTGCAGTTCCAACTCGTTGAAACGAGTGTTACGCATTTCACGTGTGGAGACGGAAACGTTGAACAGTTGTTTGAAGTGAAAGATCGGAGAATCCTCTCCACAGCAGTTGTCGTGCACTCAGACCGTTGGACAACGAAGGAAGTTTTCGTAGGATCAATGCAAAGCATTCAGATCAGATGGTAGGAGTTCGTTTGGAACCTTTTTTGGTATACTCAGTTCAGCTTTCGGTGATGTCTCTTTACAGTTGTCTTTTGCAGTGTTGTTTCGATGCAGTGATGTCACAGCTTCAGTTGCAGTAGGAAGACAGGTGAAGGTCTAGGTTTGCCGTAGGAAACTCAGTTGGTGTTTTTGTGGTTACAGTTTTGATGACTTGGAGAAACGAACGTTTGGTGCAGTAAATGACGTAGGGAGCTCAGATGTTTGTAGAACATTTATAGGAGTGTGGAATCCTTTCATTTGTCGCTGATGCAGTCATTTTCATTTGTACCAGTTTTCCAGTGCACTCGTAGGGAGCGATTTGATCATTCGACTTTTTTGCTTGTGCAGTTGAAAACAGGAAAATGTCAAATTGGAACAGGTATTTGCTTTATTTTCGTTTGGACGGAACAGTTTTGAGTTTTTGGAGTTGAGAATTTGATTTGAGTTTTTGAGGAATGAAAGGAGGAAACAGACTGAGAACAGTCTAGAAACTTGGAACGGAGAAGAAAACAGAGAATCAAGGGATTCTACTGAATCCCACGTCAGTTCACTCCGGCCAGAATGAAGCTTCAGATCATTTGCGATTCTTTCTAGGATTTTCTGTGCCTAGGCAGCTTGTTTTGTTTGGTTTTTGAGAAGGAAACGGCAGATAGTTTTGACTTTCAAGTGCGGACGGCACTTGGCTCAAGTACGAGTGACTTGAGGCTGAACCGAGTCCGAACCAGGTCCAACACGGATCTAGTGTGTCAGCTTTGGGGACCAAAGACAGTTAGAAACTCCAAAGGAGTCAAACTAGAAGGAGCAGAAGTTCCTAACTTTGTGCTTCGAAAGGAGTCCTGAAGTTGGTGCACAGCTCGGGGATTTGTACTGGCAGCCAGCCGGTGAGAGTGAAAAGGGTGCGAGTATCAAATAGAATTTGGAGGAAAAGAAAAGGTAGAATTACAGTTGAGAAGAGCCAGGGCTGCCGTGTGGTCATAGCAGGAGGTTTTCCGCTCTCCACATAAACCATCCTAATATAAACCTTGAACCAACCCTAAAGAAACCCTAAACCAAACCTAAGTGACCCTAAACCAAGCATAAACCAACCCTAAATAAACCCCAAACCAACCCTAAATAAACACTAAACCAAC